TCAAACTTTGACCGATAAGAGGGATTCAATTGGCCCTACCCACTCGCTGAGTCTTGTTGCTCGAGGCAAGCCGACTCGCTCTTATTTGATACTTGATCTACGATTAAACTTAGAAGATTTGTTCTTCGTCTGCCTACAGGTTTAACTTGCTTGCTTTTGCAAAACGTTATTGGTGAAGATATAAATTTGTAATATTTTCGCTTTGGAAAACAGGCACCTGCAAGGACGCGCCGTTTAGCTCAAGGCTAAGTAAATTCTTTGCAGTGTTTTAGTACGAATGCATTTTTACCGCAGGACAGATGCAAAAGGTTTATTACTATACTATAGTCAATTGAATAAAATTTAAATATAAGCCCTGCCATGTCTACTAGCTATCTGTGACTATTTGTTTATTCTAACGTGTTACGAAGATCCGATTTACTTGTGTATTAAATATGTCACACATCGCACAATTGTCGGCTCATGTTACTTGCATTGTTAACTTACTAATACCACTAGTTTTAAAGAAAGCTAGATCTCAGAATAAGATCTAAGATAAACCTTTCGTCTTGATACATTTCAAGCGTTAACAGGGTTTTTGAATTTTATTGTATTTTTTTTTTTTACTTTTAAGTCTCATAATCATCTATCGACCCAGTACCCCTACCTGTGTGGGTCGGCGTTACACTCAAAAACTGAGCGTTGTCTTAATACATTTATGCTTGTGCTTATAGACTCTAACGCAATTGCGGTACGTTGTTTTTTTTTTAAAGCTACTTGCTTTTGTGGGAATTTTTTGCGAAAGGTCCGCATTGCATTAGATTGAAACCTAAAATAGTACTATACGAAAATTCGAGTTTGCTATGGTTGTTTGCACTGGTGTAGAAGCTATAGTTGACAACTAGGGCTCAAAGCATTTGTTTTGAAAAAATTCAACTGTAGGAAATCTCTTCATATCGTCATCAAAGTCGTCATATCAAAGTGATGTGTAAATAGTTTATTTTTTTCCAGTGTATCCTATGCTGACAATCAGATTTCATAAGCAGTTGAGGGGTTTCTTACTTGTTCTACCTATGTGGTGCGCTATGATAGTTTTATTTAAATAACTAAATTCTAGCTTTAGTTAGTTCGGGGCCGAGAGGTACGTCTGTCTGATGGCAAATAAAATGTTTCACGCTTTTTATACAAGCTCAAAACATTACCAAACAATACAAGATAGACTCTGTCGAAAATTGTCTTAGGCCACTTCTAGAGGTGCATAATTACGAGATAAGCCTACGTCTCTCAGCTGTGGAATCCTCGACGTATGCGTAATAAATATCCTGGATTGTTTCTACCGTTTGAACAACATTATGTATCTACAAACAAAAAGGGCCTCAAAAGATATTGGACCAGTATTGCTCTACAGGTAATAAACGATCTCATTTTGGTTGTGTAGTGTGAACTTGTACGCTGTTAGACCTTGTGGGATTACAATAAGTTTCTAGTACAATCCAACTGCAAATAATTTTAAGTAAGTTCCAAAGAGAAGTCCCGAGGCCTAGACATGTCTAGGTGTCACTTTCTACATTCTATGGATATATTTTGCATCTACTTTTCTATGCATGTGAATCTACTTGTTCGTTCACAGATGGCATATAAACGATAAGTTAAATCGACTGGTCGTCTCTACGCCGTAATACTCGGGTCGTTCGAAAGGCTGTTCCTTTTTTGAATGAAAGTACCCTGTTCTTTAGATCAGCCCTCTTGCGCCGATACCCTCTTGTATATGTCGCAACGCAATCAGTAAAAATGGCTTTGGACAAAAATTTCGTAAGTTTTCGTGGTGTCAAGGCTACTGGGTAGCGGAGGGCGAAGCAAAGAAGGAAGAGGACGACAGGGTAGTATTAGGAAAGGGGTTAAATTCCAAAGCGTTTCAAGCGACTATTTTTCTAGGTTCTGTCAAGACCGAAGTCCAGAGCTGCCACAAGGAGAACTAATACGATTTTCACTATTGTCTCCTCGTTCTGTTCGCTTGGATCTACCGAACGGTCGGTTTTTCGGCTAAAATTGCACTGGAAAACTTTTACGACCGAACATATGTCTCTCTGCCTTTGACTTCACTAAGGAAGCCGCACAATTGAAGTGCCTTCGTGACGGATGATGTCAAAGAGGTCAATGGAATTGCGAACGTTCTCAGTGTCGGCGAGACCCAGATTGGACAGTGAGTTGGCTACTGCAATACATTATTCAAACTAACTAAGCTAGATAGAAGATTTACAGCATTGACTATTGTAACTTTAAACCTAGGCTCAACAAAATAGATCTGGAAAATTCCTAAAATACCTCTGGCGAGGTCAACGGCAGACCGCTAGCTCTTATTAATGGGGTAAGAGACCTACCGCTGTCTAGAGGAAGCTACAATTGCCCGTAGACTGATGCTGTTGCTATCACTGACATTGCCGATCCCATAAAAGGTAAACGCTAAACTCTTGGAGTTCAACACTAGAATGACGCTATCTACACTCCCCGGTGGCAAATTAAAGTAACCGGATCCAAGAGGTAATAGTGCAATATTTGTAAGATGTCGTTACGAATATTGGAACAACATCTTTGCCAGAAAACCTGTAGGAAATAATAACGAATGACTGAGGGCAATCTGCAAGATTGCGCCGGCACGGTCAAAGGGCCCATATAAGTACCTGCAAAGCATTTCATACTTGACATCAGTTACTGAGCAATCAACTGAAGTGGTACAAATGGATGGCCGACTTTGACTGATTTCTTCGTTATAGCACGACTATGATGAGCGGCTTTGGGAAGGCGGGTTGGCCTTGTTGTGCAGTAGCTGCATTGTTATATGCCTCACCTGTTTTACACGGCTGCCGCTATGAATGCTCAAAGGCATTCCAAACCTAGGTGGCGCATCTGTTACGACAGGATACGACGGATCCTCACCCGCTAAGCGCATGTTAAGAGGTGCATATTAGGCTAGAAGGCTTCAGAAGGGCTCAATTTAATTGTCTACAGTGTTACGCCATAGCGGTTTACTTTCATAGACTTACATCAATACACAAGAAAAATGTGCGGGCGCTACCTCAATGCAGATTATCATTTTAGCTTGAGGTTAGCAATCGCTTATGGAAACAGAAAACACATAGAATTTGGCATGCAAAAAGGGTGTATGCAAGTATCAGAAGACAGGCCATTAATAACAGTGGCCCGAAAGCTATTGGGACAAGATGATGCATTTGGAAGGGCGGTATCTGGCCCTCGATGTTTTCCTTCATAGAGAAATGCGTTACTCATAGTGAATAGCCTTTACCTCTCTGATGGACGCAGTTCTAGTTGGGGTTTGAGTAACTGATCGTTGATGTGTACGATATTTTAACAAATAAATAAATAAATAATAGTTCTCCCCCAAAATGGGGACATTGTTATTAATAACCATATTTATGAATTATAACAGTTCGAAGCCTAGCGCCAATTTACTGAAAGAAGAAAGAAATTCTCCAGACTTGAAAAAAATTAATTCCCACGATTAGTGTGGGCGCGTGGTTTTTATACCATTGAAAAGCAGGCATACTCCATATATCAACGGTCGCCTGAAGTGAAGTACTTTACGGTATTATGACGAAACGAAGCCTTGCAAGTCATCCGAATAAAGTAGGCTGGACAACTAGTAGAGCCGGCGTCTACAGCAACGACATGAATGAACAGAAAAGGCGATACTACAAAATAAGATAAAACAAAGAAGTGAGCAATCGGTATAACAACGTTTGTAATATCCCTTCAATAGGACACTACGCACGGCTGAGACGACGATTATTCGACGAGAAGACGAAAATTATACGATGCAGGCCTGAAAGTTTGCAGCTAATCTATTTCCCCTTCTTCGCTGTTAATTCGGGCAGCGTACGACAGCGCTTATGCGGAAAATTGGCTCCTATTTCAAACTACTGATGCGACAAGCCATACAATAAATCTATGGCATGAAATCCGAAACGTGTACTCTGTATATCCTTAGGGCGCGTTTACTCGACCGAAAGTATATGCGATCTGGAAACGTGTACTTTCTCACAATATATGATTTTCTAGCTGTTTTACTATGGCAATTGTCGCAGACCAAAAAAAATCACGATACCATAACGAATGTGTCTTAGTCAGACAGTTTTCGGACGAGAAGAAAATTATCTTTGCTAAGGCAGAAGTCTATTAAAATAGATGTCTCAAGCTAAGACAATTTTCGCATAATATAGGGTAACATTACATGTACGAATTGCAATAGTGTCCATGTATAATGAGTCAAGCGCAAATGGCTAATGCAATGAAACTTCAGACAGGCCAGTTAGCGATTGAATCTAATTTGCATCGAATAGTGCCTCGTTTTATCATACAATGGACCCATGAATAGGTATCCTTTAGAATAAACCGCTTCTAAAATCACCAAGTGGATGTCTACTTGAGTGATTTACTATTGCTTATCAGCCTTGAAACTTCTTAGTAATTAGTATTATATTCAAGCTGGTTGCCGGTTACCATTCTAATATCAAGTGTTATACAGTGTTAAACACGTTTTTTTGGTACGAACCAATGTAACCTTGACGACTCTTAGACGACATTCATGTTATCAGTCGAGTAGTTTGTCGGCGCCTATCGCCTAGTCTCATATGTTCGTTTAATTCTTCATACATCAAAGTGTATGTGTGCAACACTGATCATACACGCATATCTCTAATCTTCACATCGATGGAACCGCCCGTTTAAAGGCCTTCCAGTGGTGCGTCCGTTCAAGGGAAAGATTTTTCCTGCGTGCCATTCGTGCTTACCTTATTCTATAGCGGGCAAAAAGGGGGTATTATCAAGGATGTGGTGGAAGTTGTAGCAGTAGTGTCGTGCTATGCTATGTGGAGTCGGATGGGAAAGGGAATTCCTCATTTCCATCCTCCCTCCGAACCTCTCCCCTACTGTTTGACACAAGACACCAACTCCTCCTAGACCACCATCGCTACCCGCCTTCTCTCTATACACTCACTCCGAAGTGCGCCCTTCGCGCCCGACGGACACGCCACGGCCTCTAGCGATAAATTCCTCCGTGTGCTTACGTGCTTGTGCTCCTCTGATGCTGCTGTAACTCGGCCTATTAGCGTAAGAAGGTGCTATCGACACATCCTTGAAAAGACGAAGGAATACAAGGACACTGCTATTATTTTGGTGCAGGATACGAGGAGACACGCCGCATTTAAAACGGCGAGATAGATCATGTAGCATAGGGCTTCTTCCTATTTCACCGGGTTCTCGTGTAATTCTGCAGTCGTGGTCGGGACTTCTCCAGGATTCTGTGGTTAGGCACGTATGTGAACTCTCCGTTTTGGGACGTTTTTTACGTCGGAAGGAGCCAAAGCAAAAATTGGAGAGGAAGCTTTCTGTAGTGCAGAGAGTTACATGAACTAAGGACGCGAATTAGACAACGTGTTTTTTTCAGGTTTGGTTGAGTCTCGTTGTGTAACATTGTGCTAACTACTGGTGTGTAGCGGCACCTAGTCGAAGACTGAGGATTATGTGTTCATAAGATGGACTGATCTAAGCGAACTATGTGGTTATTTCGTGGACTCGATATGAGGCAATTCATGAGCTCCGTAGTGCTTGTAGCGGCCTGCCTCTTGGCAATGAGCTGTGCCATGATAACGGCTGGCCGCATTGACGGCTCAGTACTACTAACGAATCCAACCTCTGCTCCCGTGCCGGAGACAGAAGCCGTCGCCGCAGCAGCAGAGAGAAGCTATGTAAATACAGAGAAGCTCGTGCAACAGTCGGCTCGACAAATTGAGGAGGTTGTCGAACAGTCGGAGGGAAGATCAGACTTTAAAATATCGCCTTCTTCATTACAGTCGCAGTTGGACTCTACCCATACCGAGGCTCCCACAACTACGCTAGAAAAGGACAACACGAGAGTGGCGGAAGGGGGAACAGCGGCCGGGGCGGGAGTTCTATCGACAACGTCGTCAACGTCGAGTATAAATCCAGTTATCCAGACTACTACGGAGGCTACAAAACCTATGAAAGACAAGATATCCATGTACGCTAAGAAGGCGAGCAAGTTTTCCGAGAAGAAAACCTTATTTACCAAAAAGGCTGTAACTGATAAGGAGGACAAACTGGTGATCACGACGGCAGCGACTGCCGAGATCAGTTCGGCTGCTGGTGTAACAACAGTAGGCTCAGCCCATTTGACCAGCGACGACTCACACGTTTCTCCAAAAACGACTGGACCCGACTCGAGTGCGGCTCGCTCTAGCACAACAACAGACTCTATGATCGCTACAACCATCATGGTGATGCCAAATTCCTCTACGATTTCAACCTTGCATGTTGAAAACAAGCAGTTGTTGGTAACGAATGAAGATGACGATGAGGTTGGTCCCGGATGCACTTCGAAGATTCGATTGTCTGCTGGATTCAAACTGTGGAGGTCCAAGGATAAAAATAAGCTTAACCTAACGCTGGCTACCGATAATGTAAGTATAACGAATTACCCAGAAAGGGGTACATTATAGGTACATAATAGAATAGCAGCTTCTTATATACATATTTACATGAACTAGTTTCCTTTAGCTGGCTTCACTCCTTCCAATTTAATGACCAGCCTGCTTTCCGAACTTCTAGGTTTACGGCATGTGAGTGTAAGCAGAATATAGAGTATTAGCCTTTTTTGGAATGAGTCTATCCGAGTTGTTTTAGGTGATGTTTACGCCTTTCGAAAAATAGCTTTGTCGTTTGTTTCGTGGCATTCTTGCTGAATAAATCGTTTGTTCGGCTATAGTACTCCCGAGTTTGACAGTTACCTTTTACCAACTCGATGCGAAACTGCGATGCGAATACACCCAATACTGGCGACCCAGAAACCTGCTTGTAAATCAAGCAACCAAAGGCAGGTAGTGCTTTGTAACACTCCAAGCGATCGGGCGGCCCGTCCGTTTCTCGCGACCTGCTACGAGAAATGACTCCACCTTGCATAATAGCTAGGAGGGAGACGAATCACGCACTGGTCACCTGCCAGCTCTAGGAGTAGTAGATTTCTGTTCACTACGTAGTCGTTGCTGTAGGGTTGATTCACTAATGTGATGTTTTTTGCGGGTAAGTGACAAGGAGTGGCACAGCTCAAAGGTTGGCTAACTAGCTGCAGCTAGAAATAGTTAAATTCCTCTCTACTTTTGACTAGGGTATCTCGGAGAAGAGAAGATCAACCGCACACTGCCTTCCAAGAGAAGTCTATCGAAGATCGCGCAAAGGGTCTCTTTTTTAAAGGCTACTTGTGTCGTTTGAGAGGGCCAAGCTGAGCAGAGCACCCAACGGTAGTATGACGCGTAAGATCACAATTTATGCGAATATGGATTATCGAAGTCGAAATTCTTTCTTAGCTCCCAAGGCTCCATGGTGAACCTCGGGAACCGTTGATCAAATTCTAACGGTAACGGTTGGTCGGAGGGAAACGAACAAGAAGATCCTGCAGCAGGCGCGACGTCTAGGGGAAAAAAGAACTCCGAAAATGCAAATCGCTTTTTGATTTGAGTGGTCTGGCTGCTGCCTCTATATTAACTTTCTCAGTGTAATCCCCAGGCATGCCAAAAGTGAGCCATAAAACAGAGTCGCTGCTTGATTTTGTCGATACTCGTCCTTTCGAATCCGTGGTGACACACAAGTAGCCATACACGCAAAGAACGTGCGCGTTTTTAACATTATGGTCACTGTTTATGGAACATAGGACACCCAAAGACGCTCCATAATGTACGGTGATGTGAAACATTGTGTTGTCTTTGGATAAAGTTCAAGTCGTCGATGCGTCACGCCCACTGTACTTCGGTCATTCTAGACAGGCGAGGCAAACTTTCTCTTCTTCTGTATCTCACTGTTATTCACCATTTACCGTTTCTCATTTCTCTCGGGGCTTCTCTGACTTCAAGCTCAACGAAATCTCTGACTTTTCTTCAAGTCAAAGGCGCATCGGGGGTCTTTACGGGGTGTCGAGCTGTACCGCGCATTCGCCCCACTAACCCGTAAGGACCAATTAAAGGGATAGCAACGTTTCAAGGACACCGTATCTACATATTTTAGTTAAGGCTACCCCGCCTACGTAGCATGCATTAGCTGCATATAGCACCTCCTTGGTACAGTATCGGGTATTGCAGTCGGGGCAAGACTAACGTCAGCGTATTGAAACGTAGAGCGATTTCTGGGCTGTGCAGTCAATAGCGTGTTATCCAGTTCACCTGTACCTTGCGCTGTGGTACTGCGTGATCACAGGAAAAGTAAAGTATCTGTAGAAATAGAAGCGACCACGATCATAGAAGTACGATGCTTATCTGCCCCTTTGCTCGAAAGAGGCTGTATGTTAACAGGAACGACGACGTGTCGATTGCCGTTACACTAACGGCTCTAACATTCAGCAGCTTAATAACAACTGCTTGATAACGTCTCGGCAATTTTTTTTTTTATTTCGACCTGTGTGTTCCTGCATGAAAGTGCACGAACCATTCTTTCCTTTCATTCAAACGTCAATAGTCATTAATAATATAATTTGGAGCAAGCCTGCACAAAAACCTGGCGGTACGTGCATTGCCCTCGAGATTGTTCCTTATCGTAAAAATCGGACCCATCGCAACGTTCTATTGGAAAGTCGGTCATATTAGGTCTCCGCGTACAAGATGCAGCTGCTAGATTTTTCTACCCAGAATATATTCTCGATCACATCTCGATATTGCTCATACAATTGAATATCGGACGTGTGCCGGTCCATTATTCTACTTTATTTCCGCCTTTTTACAGAACCAGATCGCATGTAGAAACCAGATTCGCGTGTGGTATAGAGCAACTGAATATTAATTTGGAAAAACTGCCAAAATCAGCTGTGCTAGTTGATATGCTGCTAGCAGCAGATCGGTCCGCTAAACAACAACTGAATTCTGCGGTCAATAGTGTAGGAAGGGGCAGCAATCGAGGCCAATAAATGATAAGAAAAACAAGGCCTCTTGGGTTTTTTTCCGACGATAGCTTCTAGTCCCAACCATGAGGTTTGTGCCGTGTCAACCACGTCTTTAATATTAACGTGAAGTTTCAGAAGCGTGGGCCGTTAGGAGCGCTCATGAAACCCCGCCACAGACCTTCATAATTTGACACCCTGTTCTTTTTGGGCTCCTCTTTGGGTGTCGAATCTTTTTTAGTGTCGTTTTCTACGGGTTCAGAAATCGACACATGAACTTCGGCAGTGTATATTCATTGTAGCTCTTCCCCACTTCCGTTGCTTTGCGAGCTGACACGGGTATTTTAAAGGCGTCCACGTTAGGAAGTAAGGCGTGTACTGATATATGTCTGAATGTATGATATATGTGATTCAAGAAGTAACCCAGAAGCTTGAGTTTTCCAATTTTCTCAAGAAGGCTTCAACGTTTTGTTTCCCCTAAGTTTAACAGTGTTGTTTTTTTTTCTATAAGTTCAACTCTTCTAGCTGTACACCTAGCAGACGGATGATCAAAAATACATTTTTCATTGCTACTTATCACGTTGTGATAAATTTGTAAGTCTTCCCGACACAAGCTACCGATTCCGGCTTTGCTCTTACGAATTTTTCAGTGACGCCTGCAAACACACCCGTTAAGGAAAAAGAAGATAATCAGATTAACGCCAGCGAAAGCTATAGTTCCGTGCATTCGCAGCTGGCAACGAGATGTACTTCTCTCTCGCCTAGGCGAGGGAATAGTCCAAGCTGAAACGTCAAAGACATAATCGGACTCCGACTCGGTCCTAACAAGAAGAGCGTGTATAGAACATCCATGGAACGGACAGCCTATTCACCGATTAATGACGAGCGTGCATCTGACCCTTCTGCTATCTCCACCTCTCCTGCAGCTGTCCGCCAGGAGAGCGCTAGTTTTGGGCAGAAGGTTGTTTTCTCTTTAGAGCTTTTTTCTTGCCTCTAATGAGCTCAGCTCTAAATGATCAGTCTCTTAGGAGATTTCTTTTAGGAGGATGATCTATCCTCATCCACATCTAAATATCTACATCTAATGAAAGGAAAAGGAAGCTTTGTGCTTTTCCTGTGGATTGTATATGTACTGCTGCTTGGCTGCGAGTAAGTCCAGCCGTGTCACTGCGGTAAAGTTTCGTCTGTTGGCCATTAGCCGACGATCGCAGCAGCATCGCAACTCTACAGTATTTTGTGGGTTTTTGTCGGGTGTTTGTTAGAGTCGGCAATTAATGTATGCTACTCTGACTGGGTAAGATGAATGGCGTTGGAAATAGGAAGAAGCGTATGGTGGTCTGTGTCACGTGCCCCGTGTCGGTATTGTAACGCATTTCTAACTTTACATTGAAGGGGTTGCGTTGTGTCATTGCTTATAGTCAAGAAAAGCGTTTACAATACGACGCGCTGTGCACGCTGATGCTATTTAATGGCGTTGAGCTGCGGTGGGCGTCAGCGGATGTTTGCGATGGAGACTTCCTGTTTCATTAGTTCGATATTTGGCTGGCTGCTGGTCGTAGTACTAGGTCACTGGCAAAGGTTGAAGTGCAAAGGCCTGCCGTCAAAGCAACGAAATGGAATCAACAGTGATTCAGGATTAGAGAAGTCGTGCAGCCGATGGACCCTAGTACAGAGGTCCAATCGATGAGCTGAGGGGCGGATTTAAACAGATCTGTAAATCTTCTTGGCAGCAACAGCAACAGGGCTAAGAGGGAGGACCAGAAGGGCTGGGATCTAATGGCAGCGCCTGTACGCGGTGCATCGAAGGCGAAAGGATAGTTCGAACAAAGAGTAAGAAGCTTCTGGCAGCAAGATATATCTTTTAGCGGGTCTCTCTTCTTTCTTGCACGCTTTCATACAGTGGTAGGTTCCGTCAAAAATCCTCCAGCCTGAAGGAACGCCAGTTATACGACTGTCATTTGTTGAAAACACAACCGTCACCCTCGAAGCAATTTTTCTCATGGGCGCAGTTTTTTACACGAATAAAATGACTGCACCAGATTCCGGCCGACGACAAAGTGAGCCCTAGTGAGAACCAAATTGCATATCAGAAGTGTGCTGGTATCTAAGTCTTTACAAATTCAATTCTGTTCGGCTAGATAATTCTAAATCGAGCGTGTTGTTTAAATATTAAGCATTCAATTTCATCTTTATGGTACCATATGTCAATAATTGTGATAAGCTGTCGCCCAGTCCAAGAGAGATCCTTGGGTCATTGAATGATTGGCTTTAGCGTTATGGCTACGCCGTTTGGTTCCGCCGACGCGTAGAGCTGTTTATATGGTGTAAACTAGGCAACATAGAATATCCAAGTATTAAATTCACTCTCCTTTATCTGGATGACATATATCCTGCACTGCAGCTGTCACATCATCTCGAGTTCACTTGCAGCTCTACGATCGATTGGCATCCGTTTATGGGTAGAACGCAACGTAGCCATTAGTGGGCAAAGCCGAAGGCATCACTCGGAACGCGACACTGGCGCGGGACGGCAATTTC